TCAATAGAGATGGGAGTGACCAGGGAAGCAATTTGCTCCAAAGTCCCACTTGTGGACTATGCAAAGGCAGAGAGACCTTAAAAAGTGGCCAATCCTGCCCGCTAGGTCACACTGTGCAAGTAGAAAGTGGCCACATTTCCAACACAGTCTATCAGAAGTATATTTTTGCGCTTACACTATATAAATACTAATATTCTGCCTACTCATATCCTTCAAGAAGCTGTGGAATTTGCAGCCAGATATTTCTGATATGGAGAGCTAAACAATTAGATTAAAATTCTATTAGTTTTTGTTTCAAAAGTGCAGCTTTTTCAAAGTTTTTGGAAGAGGTAGTTGATATAGTTTGACAAGTATTGCTTAAGAGAGATGTGCAGTCTGAAGAAACACGCCTTTCTTCTGAAGGGATTATGCTATAAGGTATCACTGTTCCTTGCAGCTCACTTATGCACATACACACTCACTGTTTCCACAAGTAGGGTGTCTGCAACTGAAAGCAAATAATGAATTCACAATTCCATTCTCTTTAAACAATGATACGTTTCTAACAGATAAAATTTACTTGTTAAGAAACACTCTATATCCTCTACTGGAAGGGAAGATGACCTTGTAAAAACATGTAGGTACATTATACAAAAGGGCTGAATTTGTCTCCCTTTTCCTCACATAATTCAGTGGAAAAATACAAACTGCTGTAATGAGGTTTATAAACTACCATCGCTCAAATCTGACTTTAAAATTTGGTTTATTTAGAACTTAGAAATACACATGAAATTTAATCAGCATCTCAAGTCACATTATGTACTCTCTGTTCGACAGGAACTGAGCACATAAATTAGCTGAACTGGGAGCTAGTCCCAGATCCATCCCTACTTGGCTACAGCACCTTTTGCTAGGAACTTCCAGCAGGGGAAGCTCATAGCACATCAGTATCTTCACACTTCTTTAGGAGAGAGCAAAGTTTAGTCAAGATGGAGCAGGGGGTGGCGTGGGGAGGGGGGCAAAGGAAGGGAGGAAAGAATCAACAGGGTCATAAACAGTCATATGAGACAATGAGAGGAAAAAAAATGTACTCTAATCAGATGTCTCTGTTGCACCTTAGAAGTCTGAATCACATATAGCAGGGAAACAGAGTATTTTTGTATGAAACTTCGTGGCTTACAATACTCCTTCTGTGAGGGAACTGCGTCCAGTTTGGGACTGACAGGCAGCCTACAAGCTTTGTGCTGGCACACTAATCCCTTGTCTGTGGGTTACTGAAAAACTACTTGCATTTTTGTTCCCAGTTCACCTTGGTGAAAAAACCCAGTTCCACATATGATAAATCCAGTGTCTGCAGAAAGGCAGTCACCTAATTGCACAGCGAAGCAGAAGAAAGCCTTGCAAATGGTATACAATTTTCAAAGTGTTCTAAGCCTTAGGCAAAAGCCTTTCAACTGTGTCTAAAACTGAATGATAAAATATGTTGTACAAATTATCTGTGAACAGGAAACATGTGGTAGTGGCAGGGGACTGAAATGTAACACTTGTAAAGAAATGGGAACTGCCAGTCATTTATACCCTTTTACTTTTCTCTCAGTCACAAATTCCATCATATTTTTTTTCACCATCAGTTGATGTTCAAGTTTATAATAAGACTTTTATCAGATCTCAGTAGGCCAATTACAGCTTTGTAGCAAAAACAACAAAAAATAATACCCCATATGAAGCTAAAGGTTTAGTTTTGTCCCTTTCTTCATACTTTTATAGAGTTTCTGTTTTATCATTGCGGGATATGCGTGGATGGAATTTTGAAAGAGCTTCAGTACTGCCGAAATGCCTGGGATGCCAGTCACCTGCACTTTAGACTAAAGTAATCATAAGTTGAGAAAACTTTCTCAAGTCCTCTCTGTAAAACAGTATTAAAAAAACGAAATAGAGAGAGCAGGAGGAAGAAAAGGGAAATGCACAATTACTGTTCAGCAG